AGGGTGCTCTAGCATAGTTTCATGGGTGTAAACACACCCCCACATGTACGCGAAATCTAAATGACAGTGGTGTTAGATCTCACTATTGTCCTACATTTACAGACAGCGTCTTAGACTGGATTAGCCAAACAATTATCTAATGGCTTTCTCTCTGGTGTCGGAGTGCTGCAGAAGATTCAGATCCTGTTTATGAGCCTCTGCACTCTCTTTGGGCTCGAAAGGAATTTTGGCAGAAAGGGGATTGACTGGGAGGAGCAAAGAGGGCTGCAAAGGAGAGGAGCTCATCTTGGGGCCTACGTAAAGATTTCAAATAGCGCAGGGGGTGTCGGAAGCAAAGGAGGGCCTGGCTTTGCATTATGGGAGCAACAAGGGTTTGGAAGAGTTGGTTTTACTCCTTTTGTTTCCATGCTCCTCAGTATTGTTTCTCTCCCCAGTCTTCCTGATCCCTCTGTTACAAAGCAGAGACTTGTCTCTTGGTGTCAGCGTGCATCTTCCAGTGATTTCAGGGAGCTTTGGGTAAGGCTTTTAATGAGGAATTTAGAGCTCGGCTGTCTTCATGCATTACCAGCACATTTTCCTGAATTGAGCTCACGCCACTGCATGCGTGACCTTATGTCAAGTTTGGCAGAAAGTTTCCAGCCCTGGAACGCGGTACGGATGCAGGTATCCTCCTGTACTGAGCCACTTGAGCGCGCCGGGTGCGAACAGAGCCAAACCGGTAAAGCTGCAGCAAAGCGAGAGATCTCTGCAGCAGCAGGCAGTGATTGTGACCAGGACAAGGCTGCAGTTGTTGAGTTTAAAAATGAAGCTTCTAGGTTAGAGTTTCATCTTGGTTTCTTCCCCTCCCCCTCCTTCTTTCTAGGTTTGATTTTTTTTTTTTTTTTTTTTTTTTTTAGGGGGGGGGTTTGGTGGGTACTTTTCCCTCCACCCCGCTCATCTTTTTTTCCTGCAGCTCCCAAAGCAGGTTGCCGCTGGATTCCTCCAGGGCAGAGGGGGAACTAGCTGCAATTACTAGCTGCAGATGTAAACACTTGCTGCCCTGCCCTGGAGAGTCCAGCTGCTACTAGCAATTAAAGACAGTTAGCAGTTCCCCTGCTAGTGTAAATTCTTGGGGAGAGTGGTTACTGCCCCTTCCCACATCCCACCCCAGAGGAAGTGGAATTTCAGTGAAGTAGCGTTGGGGTTTTTTTTGTAATACTTTGCAGCTCCTGTCAATCTCTGAGAGTTCCCAAAGCTAGTCTAAGAACCTCTCCTCTTGTCTTCCTAGTGAAATAAGCTTTAATTTCCAGTAGCGTCCATCCTGTTCAGCAGCAAATTCAATTCAGCCTGGGGACTTTGATCTACATTGTTCTGGCCAGTCTTGTCCTATTTGTTTAGAATTGCATTTGTCTTCATTTAGTAGGACTTATAAATGATAAAATTTCCTCCAGGAGTGTGGGTGTTGCTGTTGATGTTAATGTAGTATCAGAAGAAGACCATGCTACGTGCTTTCCACTTTTTAAAAAACTATATAGGTTTGAAAATACAAAACATCATACAAAAGAAAGTGCTTGTAAAGTAGATCAACGCAGGACTGATTAGTTTCACATTTTTGTTTTTTTTAAATAAATATAGAAGTAACTCCTATATAAAACAGGGATAATAGTACTTCTGCCCCTCCTGTGGGGGCTGTAGAGTTTCCTGAAATCTTTAGAGAGGAGTTGAGAAATGCAAGTTATCATTGCTGGGTTTCCTCTTCCTGTACAGACACAGCATTTGGCTGACGTGCTGTGAAATGTGTACCAGTTATCAACATGTTTTCAGTTTTAAGGGTTGTTCAAAAATTCCTTTTCTCAGCTGTTCTGGGAAAAAAAATTATAGAGACCATTGACACCAGAAGAATCTGTCATGACAGTGTTTTCTGTGTTTCTGTTTAGAGCCTTTGCAAAGAGGCTAGTGAAATATTAATAGCTTTCTGCTTTTTGAGCCATCACATTGCGGTAGTGCGGTCTGTGTATCCTTTCTATGTTCCCAAAACACATGTGGTTTAGATGCCTTTCATGTATTTTAATACAAAGTGGCTGGTTGAGTGGTCCACGTTCTCCCAGAGGAGCCAAAACTCACTTCATGGATCAAGAAAAGAAAGGGCTATAAGGCAATTTACCATTCAGGCTATTGTGGAGGAGGGTGATTTAAAATGTTGTAGTGGCTTGAAAAAAAGAAAAACCCAAAGCAGTGATTGAAAGGCTTGAAATGACTAAGTTAATGTGACAACTCCTTTTCCTCTGTTGGGTCTATTGCAGAGGTGATCATGCACAGTTAATGTGTTGTGCTGAGCTCAATGGTACCTGTTTGCAGGACTTGCTTTGAAATTAAGAGTGAGAGATCATTTATTTAATAGACAGCATTAAAGAATGAGTTTCTGATGAAGCAAGTTAGGTGTTAAACACTTTTCAGGTGAACCATTTACTTAGGTAATTATCTCTCATTTACATTATAATAAATGTTTCTCCAGGGAGTTTAGCCAATCATGAAATGCAATTAATTTTCAAATGCTCTTCAGCAACAATTGACGCACCAGAGACCAAACTCCCTAGTCAACGTGTACATTTTTAAACTCTCCTGCTAAAGGGAAGCCGTTTCAGCTCAGTTGATCATGCAGTTGTTAAATTTTAAGTTTTTTAACAGTGTTTCATACATGCCTGTTGCTAGAATTCTGGAGCACTGGGCTTGATACCCAGGTTGTTTAGGCCTGATATCTTCCCTTAGTTTCCAGAGCATTGAAGAGGTTCAGGATGCTGTTCTTCAAATTAAGCCCAGGACTCACTTCAGTGAAGATGGAGGAGTTTAAATGCTTTTGGGTTCTGTTGCTGACTCCGATTGCTGTATGATACTGGCCAGGGCATGTAGCCAGCTGTTTTGCAGTTTCGCCACATGTAAAATGGGAGTAATATAAACCTCATGTCTCTAAGGTGTACGTGGAGATATATGGGTGGAAGGGACTGGTTGGTGACTGCGTAGTATCTCTGGAAAGCAGTGTAAGTATCATGCTGCTTAAGTTTACTTAATTTACTTTCTAAACTAAATGTTGTTACAGTCACTTTTGTTCTAAGTCTTATTAGCACGCTGATAAGTTAAAATAATCTGTGGAATTCCACCTTTTACAACTGTACTTGGTCCAACAGCTTAGAAAGCTTTTCAAGAATGGATTAATTTTATTGTGGCATTCAGTTTCCAGATGAATTGCTGCTGTGGTTGGAGTAGGGATCTCCATTTGAATGGAGCCGGCTTTTTAAAAATGAAAAGTGATGTTGTTAGCCCTCACCTACTCCAAACAGACCTGTTTCTGCATGCTGGCTCTGGTTTTTCTGATGTTAAGCTGTGGGCCCCAATGCAGATACTGTTCCAGCCACGCTGGTTTGCAGGGGGCAGATGGGCATGGGTTGAAAAGGGCTTACAGCCAGCTGTGGAGGCTCTCCAGCCCCAAGCGTTTGCGGATCCGAAGCGGTGGAACCTGCAAGTCTCATGTATTTGGAGGCTGAAGAGGAGGCAGAGCTTTTATCCTTTCATACTTGCAAAATCCAATGTAGGAAAGCTCTTGCCAGTGATAGTCTCTCTTCATAGAAAACAAATAAAACCACTTTGGTTGAATTTGTGCATTTTCCTGAGGCTTTCTCTTCAGCCAGGGGTAAAGAGGAAAGGAAGCTTTATTTACAGATCTTGCTTTCAGAATGAATCTAGCGTGATGGTATTACCTGTAAATACATCTTTGGGCATCAGACATCTTTCCATTTATTTAGAAACACGATAGAAAGATTGTCTGATATGGGAATGAATACTTGACAAATTCCTGTACTCCGTTTTGTTGCCTCAGAGTACATAAGCAGTTTAAAATGAGTCCATATCTGCTATTATATCATCCTGTTGCTTCCAGCAGAATACGAGCACTTTTATTTTGACCGACAAATTTTGTTACTTGCCGTTTAAACTGACCTCTAAATGTAAGAGACCAGAATGTGACTTGTGGGATGGTTACCCCACATCTGCTTGCTCTGGGCCTTCTGTGCTTCTGAGACTGAACCCGGTGGGATTCGGATCTGAGCTACCTGAACTGTTCATATGTTCCTTATAAATACAGGGCAGCTAGTGGGTTTCAGGCAGTGTGGATTTTGTAAGCACCTACACACAGATCACAGTCACATCATTATGTTGATCTAAACCATTTTGTAATCCTCTACAATCTGGGTTTAGAGACTGTTACTAGTGTCACAAATAAAAGCTTGTGACTTCTGTAGTTTTTTGGGATAAAAGAAGACATGTACTTTCAGAGAATTACATATTAAAAATAAAGCACATAAACATGCAGGAGTTTGAGGATAGTTATCCCACTTTTCAAGACCGAGTCCTGAATTCACAAGATTGCAAGAGAGAAATTGATTAATTTTAGTTTCATAGTTGACAATGTACTGAAGAAGCAGCTGAGTTAAACCAGGAGGACAAGGCATGAAAAAGAGTCTTTTAAAAATCATTCTCTCTCAGTAATTTGAAGCTTTAAACATGGCTACAAGGAAGTGTATTTTATTTGGTTTTTTTTTTTTAAATGGAACGTATATATTTTAGGAAGGAAACCCCTTTTTGCCCAGATAGGTCTCAGATTTAGTTAGAAATGGATAGAAAAGTACTTAAGAGTTCTATTTTCTCACAAACTGTTTTCTAAGCTCGTGAAAAGCCTCTTCAAAATGATACTGAAAGGCACAATAGAAAGTGATTTCAGCTATAGTTAGCATTCGTGTTTGTGTTAACTGGCCTGGTAACTGGTGTCTTCCCATTACTGACAAGCAGCAGCTTCCAGCCGCCATTATTGAGAGCGAAAGCAGGGGAGGGTGTGGGAAGGACAGCAGGCACGTCTGTGATGGATGTGGCTCGGTTTGGCCTGGACTCTGCGGGGTGGTTGGATATTGCCTCTGACCAGCTTCCTGGTCCTAATCTCCTGCTGTTGGATTTCTGCCTGCAGTTACCTGAAGGAGTTCCGCACGGAGCAGTGCCCTCTTTTCGTGCAGCACAAGTGCACTCAGCACCGGCCCTACACTTGCTTCCACTGGCACTTTGTCAACCAGCGTCGTCGCAGATCTATCCGCCGCCGGGATGGTACATTTAACTACAGCCCTGACATTTACTGTACCAAGTATGACGAGACCACAGGAATCTGCCCAGAAGGAGATGAGTAAGTAAAGGCTGCACCCTGCTTTTCAGGCATTAGGCTTTTGGGATCAGTCCAGGTGGTGATTCCAGCCAGTTCTTGTAGAGATGAGGCAAGTCAGCAGTAAAGCAGCTTTGTAACATACGTAACATGAGAACAGATGTAAAAACTCTAATAGCATCCCATGTGCTCTAGGCCTGCTGCAGAGGTGATACTAAGGGTGACTTAGGTGGGAATTCAGCTCTTGAACTGTTCGGTGTCCTCAGGAGCCTTGGCATCTTCAGCAAAGTTGAGGTGTGAAAAACAGCACGCTGACGAATGGACCGAGGAGGACTCTGTTCCCATAAGTCCCTGACTGTCAAATCATAGCTCTTGCTCACTAGCAGAGTAGCTTAGTTTTTAACAGCTTGCTGAGAGAGGAGGAGCTTTGTCTTCTAGTCTGCCCCCTGAATTGTCTATCCCCAGCTTTTTAAATCATATCAGTTACTTGTCAGTTTATTTTGTCTTCCTGAACTTTTAAGAAGCCAGTAGGGAAATGGCAGGTACCCAGAATAAGGCAATGTGAGGCAGAGTTTGTTTTATTGGGTCTTCTCTCCCTGTGGCTGCAGGAAGTTTAACTGGAGCAGAGGTGCAAGTGTTTCTGCTGTGCACGTGGCAGACTCCAGCAGTTAAAGGGTTAACATAGTAATATAACTTCAGCCACAGATAGGGAAGAATAAATAGCGTAGCCAAACTGTGGTCAAATATAGGGAGTGTTTTATATAGAGATGCCATAGAAAGATGGAATTTCAGTTCCCTTTCATGGTGCCAGTATAAACACACAGAAAAATGCTATTTATCAGGAAAACAATATTTTTTTTTTTTACCTGATTAAGTAAAGATCTTGTGACTACAGCAGAATGGAATAATCCCCCAGCCTGAGGCCTCAGTTTCAATACTTTCTTCCTTGTTAGAAGAGAACTAGAAGGGACTGGAAGTAGGATATCTGGGGGCTTTGGCTTCTAGATCACTCATTCATATCTGGCTCAAACTCAGTGAATGAAAACTGTTGCCATCTCAGAACTCTTTCTTGATTTTGTATTTTTAGCTTGATGCTGCAATATCTAAACTTTACCTATTCATCTTGTGCTTTCTTTTTTATTTCTCAGTGTAGATTGTTCTTTTTCTGCCTAAGAGAGGAAACAAAACATCAGTTAAAATGGTAGTATTGTAATTCTCCTTTCTTGTCCCGTGCTCTGCATAAAGGATGCATCTGGCTATAGATAGACTGTTGCGGCCCTGTAGGAGTACATCAGCAGGAAACAGTAATAGCACGAAGTCTAGATGGGCTGCTGAGGAAATGGTATGTGCCATGTGATGTCCGTCCCTTCAATCATGGCTAGTATATCAGAATGCCTTGACAGTGTCCTTGTTCTTTTCCAGATCCGTGGCAGTCACTAGACTAGAATAATAAGCTGCTGCTGGCTTAATAATCCAGTTGTCTTTTTGGGAGGGAAACTATTATATACTGTGTAGTGACAGGTTTAGGGGTTCTGTGTAGCTTTGGAAGGCACAGCATAAGAGAAGAGGCAGAGTTAGCAAAGGTGTTGTCAACTACAGCATCCTGTATCGGCAATATGTCTTCTGGTAGTGTTGAGTCCATCACCCGTGTGACTAAACTTCTTCCCCTCCTCCGATACCTCAGGTGTCCCTTCTTGCATAGAACTACTGGAGACACAGAGAGGAGGTATCACTTGCGCTACTACAAAACTGGAATCTGCATTCATGAGACAGACTCCAAGGGAAACTGCACGAAGAATGGAGTCCACTGCGCATTCGCTCATGGGCCCCATGACCTACGCTCTCCGGTGTATGACATCAGGTTAGTAGAGCTTGGGGCTCTGTATGAAAAGGGTAATTTCTGTACCCAAATGAAAAGTCAGATGATTGAAGGACAGTACTACTTCAGCGTGAAATGCTTAGTGTTGGAGTGATGATATATCCCTTCCTAATAAGGCAAATCTACAAAATCTCCAGGGAGGATACTCGGAATGGGGAAAGGGAGCACATTTTAAACTAGTTGTGCTGTGGTTTGGAGCCTGATGGGGGGGGTCCAAACAATGCATCTGGAATTCCCAGGGAATGAAGAACATGAATTGCAGTTGCTGTTTGACTAAAGATGTTCTGACAAAAAATGAATGAATGAAATGCACCCGCTTAGGATTTGTTACCATGCTCCAGTATGTCAGTTTTTATACATCTTTATCTGTCTCTTCATCTGCTTAGTCTGTATATTCATTTAACTCTGCCCACAAAGGGAGCTTCAGGCGATGGAGGCTTTGCAGAATGGTCAGACTACATCAGAAGGTGGCATAGAGGGTCAGTCTGCAGTTGCTGCTAGCCATGCGATGATAGAGAAGATACTCAGTGAGGAGCCAAGGTGGCAAGGTGAGTGTCGCTTAGGGTCTGTGGTGTTGGGAAAGTTTGTGGAGTGCCCGCTCCTGTCAAAAACTTTTGTACAGTAAATACAGATCATGGTCATCTCCCACTAACTGATTGCTTCTTTTGCAGATACAACGTATGTGTTGGGAAATTACAAGACAGAGCAATGTAAGAAACCCCCCCGTCTCTGTCGCCAGGGTTATGCCTGTCCCTACTACCACAATAGCAAAGACAGAAGAAGAAGCCCAAGAAAACACAAATACAGGTACCGTGGTCCTGGATATTCTATTTCCCAGCTGAGTGGTGAGGTGTAGTAGAAATCTGTAATGAAGGATCTAGGATTTTGTCCACTAGATAATTTTTTTTAGTGTATCTCCAAGGCCTGTACTGACAGATGTGGTGGACTGCTATTTCTGCCTAGGAGACAGGATAACAAACTAAACAAGGAGTTTTGTTGTATATAGGAACCAGTATCTCTAATAAATGACTGTCGCTAAATCATGTTACAGCTCTGGCTTTACGGCAAACAGAAGCTGTGTCTGGGTTCCCCTTACCGTATAAACTCCTGCTTTAGAAAGCAGTGCAGGAAAAAGAAAACAAAAGAAAGTTTTTTAATCGCCATCTAGAAACAAACTCACACAGCAGTGTTTTCATGGTAAAGGATTCAGAATCATCAAGCTGTTTGTTGTGTATGCTTGGTGATGGGGATCGTGAGGCACGGTGTGACCAGTACTGTAGCTGGACATGCATTCCTAACCAACTGCTAAGGACTGTGCTTTTGAGGCACCAGGGTGTTCTTGTCACTCAGCTGTCGTTGGATTTTCAGCATGCCGCGTCTCCCTGAACGTGTTTCATCCAAGTTATAGGCCCTCATTTCCTCCAACACAACAGAGCTTTTGTTGTGATCTCAGTGGGGCTTTTCCTTAGTTCCTTTTTGAAAAACATAAGAGCAGACCAGAAAGCCAGGAGAGAAAATACCATGGATGTTCTCGCTTCCCTTCCCCACCCCCCATTCACAGAAATTTTTGAATTGGCACTGAAATCCCGTATTTAAAAAAACTAGATATATAAAAACCAAAGGAACGTTAATCCCAAGACCTTCAGGAGAAACAGAAACACTAAGCCAGTCTTCAGCCAGCAGCTATGTGCTTTCTGCCCCTGCCTGGGCCCTTTGGGAAGGGAAGAGGTGAAAGCTTCTCCCCTCCTGATCTCCACTCCTTTCTGTGTTGCTTTCCCCACCCCCAGCTGATGTGGCTGCCTCTTTCGTGCAGGCATCTGCTGCTGCTATCTGCTTCCCTCTGCTGTTTTTTAAGGGAATGGTTAAGAGCATAAAGAGCAGGGGAAGTAGGTCACAGCAAAAATTCAGAACTGGGAAAAAGAACTGTTCTGGCTGGGAGAAAGAAAATGGACTTGCCTTTTCCCCAGTGACCTGACTCAGCTTCTTTTCCACATGGCCATGCTATAACCCTGGAAACGTACCACTGTAAGGGTATTATGTGTTTTAGGATTAGCCAATTAACTTACTAGCTTTCTATGAACGTACAGTTCCAAACCAGAAACCAGACCCAGCATCTCTGACACTAATCACATCAGCTGCTAATATTGTTAAGTTATGTTGGTTCAGGTTGTATTGGGTTTCAGATGGAGAGCTAAGCCATTTTTCTTTCACCGGGAAAATGGAAGAGGGGGAAGAAGATGCAATAGGAGCAAAGTGGGGGCTGGGGAAGCAGCAGCCAGCCAAACAGATTGTACAGCTGAGGGTGGGCAGCTGAACCTGCCTTCCAGTTGAGGAAGCAAAGCTCAAAGCACATTTGTGGGTCTGATGCATTCTCCTGCTACCTTATTTACACAGATCTTCGCCATGTCCCAGTGTGAAACATGGAGATGAGTGGGGAGATCCCAGTAAGTGTGAAAATGGAGACTCATGCCAATACTGCCACACTCGCACAGAACAGCAGTTCCATCCAGAGGTACAGTAACCTGCTCATTCCGTTTGGTAGCTGACTAGAAAAGCAAAAGCATTCCAGGCTTATGAAGTACATTAGTGTGCCAGCTGCGAGAGTTTGTGGGCTGCTTGTAGTGTGGTCCTGGGATACAGAGGAACTGCCTGTTGGAAGTAAGCTGAAATTCAGCTGCTTGACAGGGGTGCCTTTTCATTAGGTAGACCATATGGGAGGAGGTAAGAAAAGTAGGGGAAAACTCAAGTGTAAGAGCAGTCTCATGCGTGGGGGTCCTTTTGAAAGCATGATGTGGATTTGCAGGTGAGCATACAGCATCTGTTTCCCTGAGGAAAAATTCTTTGTTGATGATGATCAAACTAAACCATAGATACCCACGAACTGGTGCTAAAAACCACCAAGCTCTTAGTTGTGAGCATGCCCAGAGCATTCCAGTATCCTTACAGAAAGTGTAATTAAGACCTTGTCCTAGTCTGCTTCATGTTACAGTGTTGAAAAGCTTTGTTGGGCCTGTATCGGCAAAGTAACCATTGTCACCGCCTGTCAAACTGGGGGGAAGGGGAATAATCCATTTCCTACAATCATTGTCAACGGTTTGTTATTTTCCTTGCAAACATGTGGCTGTAACTTTCTGTGCTGTCATCTGTCAACTGTTTCCTACCTTTTACCATTTGTAATATCCATGGAGCTTCCAGTGAGACTGAGGGACTTTATGGCAAATGGTGACCTTTGGGTGAGCTGACGTGTGATGGGCTGATCTTTGGGTGAGCTTAGCTGTGATGGGCATATTTTGGTGTTTCTGTAACTATAGTGGGTTTTCCTTTCTTTGAAGCAAAGCACTGAAATGGTCACCCTGAACTCTGCTGGCCTTTGCGCCTTTATCTGTGTTCTATCTTGCTGTCGAGTCTCTTCATAGTACTTTTGTACCTGGGCTGCCGGTCACTGTTTTTTCCTGTTCATGTCTGGTTTTTTTTTTTTGTTTTTTTTTTCCCATCCTTAGATCTACAAATCCACCAAATGCAATGATATGCAGCAGTCTGGCAGCTGTCCCCGAGGACCCTTCTGTGCCTTTGCACATGTAGAACGTACGTGGGCTGCTTCTCTCGTCTTTCATGGATATTTGAGCTATGGAGAGCTTTGGCCAAAATAGATAGTTTAAAATATAGGGCCACTAAACTAGAGCTTCTGTGAAGGATTTTCAAAAACAGAGTATTAACTTTGATAATTCCTATAAAACTGTGCTAGTGTGGGAGGTGCTGGCAGAGCTGAAGGCAGTAGGTAGTCTGTAGGACTCAGCCCTTAGCTCTCACTGCACTGTCTCTTGAAGTATCTCCCTCTGTTCCCTCTCACTCGCTTAGTTCTTTGTATGTCAGTTTAGGAGGACTGGAACAGAGAGAGCTGCCTCTCCTCTGTACGTGGATGAACTGTACCTAGCTAAGTTGCAAAGTGTTGTATTTTAAAAAGCTGAGGATAAAATTGCTAATTATAGATAATGTGTTGATCCATTTTAAAAATTAAATGCTATTTATGAAGTTTTGCTTAGAGTTTAAATCTTTTTAAGTCAGGTTGGAGAAGAAAAATATGCAGCTTTTTGTCTGCTTTTCCTCAAATCCTCTTTTCTTGTTAACTCCCTGATTTATAGGGCATTATTTCAATCCTCACTTTCATCGTTTGTAAACTAGTGATGCTGTTTTGGTTGTGGGAGTTCTATATTCAGGTGGGTACTAATATCCATAGATAAATGGTTAGCTCCTGGTCCTGCGGCTCCTACTCAGTTTCTGCACTTCAGTCTCACTGTTGAATTTGCAGCAATTAGAGCAGGTTACTCAGAAGTCAATAGACTGGCTCTGATACTGACTCACTACATGGCCTTGAGCAAATCTTTGTTATTTGATTATCCTTTGTAAATGGTGGCATTAGTAATTGCTGCCTTTGTCAAGGAATGGTGAGAGTAAATTCCCTACAGGTTATGCAGTTCCTTTTATAGGAAGCCTTGTCGACAAGCAGTAATTATAGCTAGAGCTGTGGGCTATAATGGCCCAAAACACAGTAGTGCAGCTACACAGTATGATCCAGCGAGCTTAAGAGAGAATGAAGTCTTGATAAAGAAACAGCGTTTAGCAAACTCCCTTGTGTATAACATAGTGTTTTTGTTTAGGAGATTCCTAACAAGATTACTGCACTTGATACAATACTACTTTAAAGCCAGAGTAACCTTCTGTGGCACTTAGGTCATTCTAACCTGGTTATTTCTTGTGCTGTCTTATGGAATTGTATCTTTTAGTCCTTTCTTAGCAAGCCGAACACTGAGGGCCTAATTCAATTAAAGTAACAGGAGTCCATTTATTATATCTGCTCTTAGCATGAGTTTTGCTGATTATTAGCAAGAAAAGTAAAGATGCTGAGTTGCGTTAGCTGTAAATACTACAAGTCTACAGCATCTCTGCTTTACCTTCCAAGCCAATGACACTTTCTTTTTGTGTATGCCTTTTAATGTACGTGACTTTTTTGGTAATGGTTTGTACTGAGCACAGATGGAAACTTATCTCCCTCAGCTAATTATAATGCACCCATCAACTTTGTGCCTAGCAATGAAGGAAGCTCTGCTTAGTTCAAGACAGCTGAATGAATAACACACAATTCATGCAGGGAAGATAATTTTGGAGCAGCATTAATGGACTAAAGAGCAGCACAGTGTACAAGTGATGACAGTAATAATGTAAGGAATATTAGATAAGTAGTAGCCATTTGCCAGATGAGGTTTCTCCTTGCTTCTATACTTCTAAGGAGGTGCTTGTGGAATATTTCTTCTCTCAAGAATATCTAGGTATTCTTGTTCCTAAATGTCTTGTGCTCCATTGCAATTGTACAGCTTTGAGTAACGTTCCATGTGCTTTTATTTCTTCCAGAGCCTGCGCTCAATGAAGATTTACAGCAATCCTCAGCTGTGTCTAGCCCGACACAGACAGGCCCTGTGATGTATATGCCATCAGCAGCTGGTGATTCTGTTCCGGTCAGCCCTTCCAGTCCACATGCCCCAGACCTTAGCAATGTATGTAGCACTGGCGGGAAAGCTTTGTCCATATTTTACAAATCTGGGTTTCTCTGAGTCACTGTACGTCTTTCTCCCAAGAAGAGAAATCTTAAGGATCCAAAAGCCCAAAGGATATGGCATTTTTCTTTTAGATCTCAGCTCCACGCTTTTTAGAGGGATCTATTTGTTTGGAACATACAATTCAGTGGCTTTAGTATTGTCCCCTCACCTATAAAATTTCTAAGCCTTCCTTTCTGTGCAGTTTGTTGATGTACTTTCAGGAAAGTGGAATACATCCGCACATGAAGTCCAACTCCTTCCTGTCTGGAGGTACATATTGGGCTTAGTTTCCAAGTACTCCAATTAAAGGCTGTGAGCCAATAACATCTAAAGTACATAACTACAATTGAGTTTGTTTACATATGTAATCTCAGAGGCTTAGCCTGTGCGTATTGTGTGTTGCATTATAGGATATTCTTGAGTCCCTCCCTCTCCTACTTCTGGAGATAGCTAAACTCTGGAATATGTTTAAGTAATACCCCAGATTGTTGGCAGTACTTTATTTTAGTTGTACATACAAGAAGGGAGATCTTTAGATGCTGAACAGATACACACAGACAGATAAGAAGCCCATGGAATGCTAGACCACTTCATTTTTGCTGAGGGTTTTTTTTTTTGTTTGTTAAGTCTTTCCTGTTTGCACTGCTGTTGATAAGGTGTGTAACCTTTTCCAATGGTTGGTCGAGGTTTTAAGAAGGTAAAATGACATGAGTTTAACTCATTTGAAACTGGTCAGAATGAGGTAAACTCATTTAGGACCTCTCTTTTCAAAGAGGGGGAATAAGGTAAAGGAGAAGCTGATAGTTTGATTTTATTAGTGCCAAAGCCAACCTAACAGTTCATAGTTCTCCTGAATTTGATTGCAGCTAGAATTCCAAACAGATCTTGAAAAGTCTGGACATAATATTTTCTCTCACTAAATAACACTGTGGAAAGCAGTAAAAAACAAAACGCCTTCCTCTCATGAATGTATCATCTAAATTATCTGAAAACTGCAGTGAAATTGAAGATATATTCCCCTTAATAGACCATTTAGGTCTTTTCTATGTCAAGTTCTTAGTCTTTTAAACAGTCTTTCCTAATCCATGGATATATGCCAAATGGCAACACATGTCTTTCTGTGGCTTCGTCACTCCACAGGGCATCTGCATTTAGCTTGCAAACAAATATGGCTTTGCTGGTGATCATTTTACATGATGAATTAATCAGAGAAAAAGGTCCCTCTAGCAGCCAGCCTCACGTGGCCTGTTCTGTTTTGTATTTGTACTGTAGGTGTGGAATAAATCAGGAACTCTGCCAACTAGCCCCACCTCCACCACAGTGAGTAGTATCTTTGCAACTGTAGGGAAGCGTGGACAGCAGAATGTCTATGAAAATAAAATCAAAACACTGTAGGATGTTCCTTCTTTCTAATGCCAGCCCAGACTGTGCCACGTTTGAATCTGGTAGCGGTAGCTGTCTAAATGTTGTCTGAAGCACAGTCGTGCTTGCCAGTGCAGGCAAATAATTTCTTGTCCCAGGAAAATGGGATATCTGCATTGATCCAGGTAGGCGCTGTCTCTAAAACTAATCTTAATCTCCTTTGCTGCTGTCTGTGGCTTCATCTACAGTGCAAAACTAGCCTTGTTGCATGTGGTTGTGATCCCTGGTATTAGTCCAAAGAATGGAACTGTTGGAAATCCTTGGGTTTTTTAATGCAGCTGTTGATACTTGGCTTGTGCCTGCATTAAAAATTTCAGATTTCCAACTGAAAGCAAAAGATTACACATAGCTCAGATATGCTTGGTTGTTCTGACTGCCATAGCACCTTTCCAGGTTTCACGCTACTACTCAGAGTGCAGACAGGATCTGCTGTAGCCTAAGGAAAACAAAGAGACTTTTGGTCAGGTTTGGAAACTTGATCAGTCACATCTGAGGCCTCAAAAAGAATTAATGTCACTAGAGCTGTAGGTTGTTTTTATAAGACTGCACTCCAGTACAAAGTAATGGCAGTAAAACCATAATTGTGGGACTGTATAAATCCAGTATCTACTGGAGCTTTTTCCTGGTTTTTAATTACTGTTTACTGGAAGCTTGTATGCTTGTGTTGACTGTCAGTATAATCGATGCACAAACAGTGAAGTGAATGAGCCTTTCCATGGGATGCCTCTCCTCCTTGAATCGTTGCTACTAGCTGGCTCTACTTTCCTGACACTTGTTCCTTCTATTAGATTCTTTGTAGGAACAGCAGTCTCGGAAGCCCATCTAATATATGTGGGTCTCCTCCTGGCGCCATTGGAAAGCCACACAGCTTGGAGACCATTGGTTTTCCTCCAGACTCAGTAACAGCAGCCGGCAGCTACAAGAAAGCACCGGGGTTTGAGCGAGAAGATCAGGTGGGGGCCGAGTATTTGAAGAGTTTCAAATGCCAGGTTAGTAGGGAATATTGGCTGGAAGAGTTGGGGGGATGAGGAAGAATGAGAAATTGCCCAGTCTAGCTTGAATGTATTTTTATTTTTCAAGGAACAAAAATGAGAAATAACTATTCTCATTAGCAGTTCTCAGATCCCTGCTGTTGCTTTCAGCCTCCCTTCCAGTCTCTTCCATCTTACATCTGTTCTTGTCTGCCTAGCTGCCATCACACACTCAGTTTGTAGAAGTCAAGCTGCTGCTTGTTTTCCTAATCCCTCACAACTTCTCTCCTGTGTTGACCCTGGGTAGCTTCCCACATATCACTTCTTGCTCTTTCTTTTTCCATATTTAGGTCCTTGCCAAGAGTTGCTGTTTCTCTTGCTGTATTGTCTCATGGAAACTCATCCTTCCTTCTCTGTTCTCACTCCGAACTCTTACCTTGATCTCCGTGACTTGGTTTGTCTTCTGTTTTCACCATTCCTTTTTCCGATGTATTAAAAATGTCATGTTAGTTGTCTCTTGCTTCTCTGGCTGTATCATTCTGATCCTTGACTCTCCTGTGGTTTCTGTATTAAATTTGACTGCCTCATTCTCATTTGGAGAACCCTCTGCAATCTTACCCAACCCACATCTCTAATGACATTCCCTCTTATCCCTTTTGGATATCCCAGTCTTGTCTTGCTGCTTCCTCAGTCTTCTCCATCTTGGTGTCATGCCTTAGTCAGACTGCTCCCTAAGCCTAGAACAGTCTCTTCCATCTCTTTTGCCACACATGAGCTTTTCCACAGTCAAGTTCTTATTGTGAATTTCCTTTCTTGATGTTACAATTAATAGTTTCTCTGCACCATCCCTTCCAAGTCAGCTGAGTCCAACCCAGAGCTTGGGTCTCAGTTTTTATTCCTCACTGGGTTTGTAAATGTAATAGAACAACATCTCAATTTAGGTGAAGGAATAGCTACTTTTATGAAGAGGTGCCTGCAAAAATATTTCCTGGATGTTCTTTTTAAAAAAAATATAAAAAGGAATAAAAAGACCTGGTCTATGTTGCTTGAAAACAGAGATGACAAGAAATGATGCTTTCAACCTGGCTACGTTTAAACTCTTGTCTGTAATATTAAAGAAGCTAGCCTTAATAAACTCACACTGCTGCGTTAGTATTGCACTGCTGTGAGAAAACAGTGGAAATATCCCGTCCAGACAAGATCTTGCATAAAGTAGTTAGATTTAGAAGCAGACTCTGTGGGGTTTGTTTTATTTATTTTTACAACTTTGGGAAAATATGACCAAACTTTGCAGTAGATCAGTCTTGAACACTGTTTAGTCTAATTAGAATGATTTAGTGACAAATACAGATTAAGCTATATGCATGTACGCTTTCTTATAAATGCTTTCATTGTCTTGCTTAATGTGGATGTGGCTTAGGAAATTTCAAATTGATGCAACACGTCTTTGGGGGTAAAGAGCAGACCATGCTGTGATCCTGGCACTTCTTGTGGGCACAGCAGCTTGTAGCAGTTGTTTAGAAACAAAAGAAAAAACATGTGCTCGTTCTCTGTTGCCTCTGCTGCAAAGGAGGAGTGAACCCAAAGCCGAAGGACTGAGAGAACCCCTGTTTCCTGCCAGCAGAGGCAGGGTGCCAGGGAGGCCCTGCTTTGGAGAAAATGAGCAGCAAGCCTAAGCCAAAGAGAAAGGGGATGGAGCATGAATAGGACTTTTAAAAGGAGGGCCAGATGATGAACATTTATGTCTGAAGTCCAGGCTGTGCTACAAAGATACTGTATTCAGGTAGCTTCTTACTCACGCGGCTTTAATTAAGCAAAAACCTGTGTTAAGTGACTGGAATAAATAACTATTAAGATATAGATGGAAGTAATCACAGTTGCCTTATGCTAGGCTTCTACAGACAAAATTAGGTGTCTCATAAGTGTCCTGATTTAATTTTCTTTTAATCTATAATTACTTACTTTTTTTTAATCCTCTGTAATTCCCTTTGGCTGCAGTGGGCACCAGAGACTCTCATATACCCTATAAATTAGACCAATAATTAGGCATTTAACTTTGTTCACTCATATTTGAAAACTTAAGAGACACTCTGGCTCAGCTCTGCAATACGCTTGTCATTTTTCTTCCGTAGAATTAGTACAAACAGTTTCTATCTTATTAGAATGAAAAATGCACCTTCTGTGTTAATAGGTTCCACAGTTTGTGGTAAGGCTGAGCCAGCAGTTAAAGCTAAAAATACTTTTCCTGAGTCCCAAAAGATTTAGCAAGCTGGAAAAATGCTGGCTGCACTGGAAGGACTTGAGTGCCACGACTAGGAGGTGTTCCTAAGTCCTGACACACAGTACAGGAGGTTTGTTCCATGCTGGTCAGAAAACATTCAGTTTCACTCGTAATTTATGTCCCCTGTTTTCTTTCCTGACTGCAACAGAGTGAGCTGGAGAATTTCAGCCTGCCCTTTGAATTTCTGTCTTGATGTATGCCCTTTCTAACGTTATTCAGAGCTAAAGGAGGCTGGCTTAGTGGTGACAATCGGTTTGCTCCATTTTGCACTGGTGTTACATGAATTCAAGGCAGTGGAAATTGAGACTAGCTTAGAAATGAGTTCACTTTTTCTCCTCCTTAAAGATTAAAAAAAAAACAAACCCAACCCTTCCAGTAAGACTTAACTGCACCAGAGCCAGCTAGCTACATTGGCAGGAAGCCTCTCAGTGGGGGGGGGCATGGCTGCATATGTGCCTTCTCTTTAGCTTCTGACGTCTGTTGATAGCACATCTTGTGTTCAGATGAGTGTCAAACAGGGTAGGGATGTGTTGGATAATCTAGCAGGCGTGTTATCAGACGCACACAGATGCACTAACGTAACGCATCTATTGCACACAAAGGAAAACAAGCCTGTGATCGGTTCAGTGGTAGTTTTGCTGTATGTAAATGCACTGTATGTTGTTCAGGGAAGCGTGACAGAATGGTACCCACTGCAGAAGGATCTTTGCGTCTGTATCTCAACTGCCTGTTTGCCAGGCTTTGACCTCCCCATCTGCCCATAGGCATACAGTTGAGCAGAGAAAATGATTTAATTAAGTAAAACCAAGGGATGAATTCTTCCGCTGCTCTTTCGCCTGTCTGGTTATGTCATCCCTCTCCAGCAATCGTTTATCTTTTTCATAAGACTGTTTAAGCCAAAAAGTCAAGGCGTATCACTTCAGGTCAGTGTGGCATCTCATGCGCTGCTGTTGTACATCATGCCTGAAGCTCCCCTGCAGAGATGGTGACTGCCTGCATTTGCGATAAAAACGATTGAGTGGACTTTATGCCTGGAATATGTCTCTGATTCAGACTGAGGGGGGTTGGAAAGCGAGTAAACAAGCAGCCCTGACTCTCATCACTTTTTTGCTCCCTCTCTGTGCCCGGAGGGTGTGATTGATCTCCCTGTGCCTTACGCATGTCCAGCATGGGAGGAACAGAGCCAGGCCTGCAGACAGACCGTTACACACTGACAAGCTCAAGAGGCCACTTCCTTCCCAACTCTGGTTGTTGTAGCTTAGAATTGACTGATGTTGTGAGGCAAGAGGGTTGGTATCCGTTAAGGATATAGTACTGGAAGGTCCTTAAGCTGAATTTTTAGGCTGGATAGTGGAATTCTAAATATATGTTGGCATCCATGCAGTTTTGCAATTCCAGACAGCCTTGACCTCTCATGTTTTATAGCTTTGAGCTCTCTATGTTAACGGATCGGGGAAGGTTTTTTTTTAAAATCAGTTTTGATGATGTTGCTTTTAAAATTGGTTAGTTATCACTTTATTTTACTTTGCAATCCTAGCTGGGAGCTGGAAAAGTTTGAGGGAAAACATAATCTACATACTTTATTTTCCCAAAGCTGAAAAATGTTTACATAATTTAAAAATACAGTGTGCCTCCCACCATTTCTGGCCCTTTTTTAGATACTAGTAGGGCTGATGAGTTATTTATAGCAGGGCAAAATAATTCATTTTTGTTCTTGGTTCTTAAGATGTGTTTTGTGCTAGCAGAGGACTTAGAGCAGCATTGAAGGCAAATGTAATTGTGACAAGTCTTTGCATAACTCTAGGGGTGATGTCTTGGTATATAGAAAGCAAATTACTTGGAGTGTTTTCAGTTTGCTATGCTTTCCCGCTCTCTGAATTCTCTAGTGCCCAGAGCAGACTGTAAGAGAGGAGGGGAGTATGTTTCCCATGGCCTCTCCAAAGCCAGCAGTCAGCCATTTTTAATTTTGCTGCTAATCCCTCTGCTTATTTTTTGTTCTGTTTCTTTACTGCAGCAAGCAAAAATGAAGTCCCACTCACTGGAACACAGGAGCCAGGAGCAACCTTTGTTACAGCCCAAACAGGTACAGTACTGCTAGCAGGGCTCTGAACCTAGCTCAGTGCTTGCACCACCACAGACAAGGACGTGAGAAATCTCTGTGGATCCAGACAACTCTGCAGGGAGTAAATGACAGGCCAGACACCATTAGGGATGTTCAGCTTGAGGGATTACTTTATGAAGATGGGATGATTTGCTGGAGGGGTTATTTGTGAGCGGCTAGACCTGTGTGAATTCAGGATAGATTCATAGGCCTGGACCATGCTGGAGAGAGTCTCCAAATTACAGGAAATTGAGCTGAAATGGATCTCTGGAGTCATCTAAGTTCAAGGATTTGGCAAAGAGAATTTAATATCAGGTTCTAAGTCGTGTGCTGAACTAAGTCTGAGTGAGTGATTGTGTGACCCATCCCTATGATTGCATGCAACCTGGGGGTCACAGGAGTTAATTCTGGGGCAGCCCGAAGGATGTTTGTAATACTGGGGAGGGGGGGCAGAATGGAGAACAGTCGGCAGAAATTAAAGAAAAGCTGTTAATCTCTCCCCCACCCCCAGCCCAGTAGTAGCACTAGCCATCTGTCAGGTTGGAAGCAGGCAGGAACAGGTTTGCTGCTGATCTTTGGCTCATTCCTGCATGTTTCTGAAGGGGTTCTTCTATAAAGATGTTTTATTTCCTACCTCTTTCCCTTTTAAAACTCTTGTTTCAGGACATACTGGGTATTCTCCCAGTGGGGAGCCCGCTGACATCCAGCATCTCCTCTAGTATCACCTCCAGTCTGGCTGCAACGCCACCAAGCCCTGCCGGCACCAGCAGCATACCAGGCATGAATGCCAATGCTCTTCCTTTCTACCCAACCAGTGACACCGTTGAGTCTGTCATAGGTAACTTTTGCCTTTTTTACTTATGCTAATAGGGCTTCCTCAGACGTGGATCACCAGGTATGAGACTTGGAATAGCCATGGGTGTTCCAGTGAACTCCAGTTTTTCGTCTCTGTCAGTGTTGGCAGATTCCTGAGGCTGTAAGCTTTTTCTGTGACTGTGATACATCTGATGTTTTCTGCAGGTCATTATGGATGAAATTCACCCACAGGACCAACAGAAGGCCTCTGCGCCACTTACTCAGAATGTCAGATGGTTTAAAGGGCCTTAGTTTTAGGTTTGTCAAAGTGACAAAGAGGTCTTGGAGTAGGCAGGAAATCAGAGGGGCATTTTCCACAGTTACAACCCCTTACATTCTAAATGACAATTTTATAGCAAGGGCTACCACCAGGTAGATTGCAAGGACTTGCCCTTCATAGAGTGTGGGACAGAGGCTGTAAGAAAAAGGAGAACAGGAGAGTCCAGAGAGTGGAATCACTCCTTTTAGATAGGTACAGGTTTTTTTGGTCACCTGGTTGTGGTGGTTTTTTTGTGTTTTTTGGTTTTGTTTTTTTTTTTTAAAA